AGCGCGCGTTGGTTTTACAATATATATATATATATATATATATATGTGTGTGTGTGTGTGTGTGTGTGTGTGTGTGTTTCATATACGCATACACATAAATACATATATAATATTGTACAACGTTTAGAATGCTTAAATGATCGCACTGAATCCGGTATCCTTCCAGGAAGCTCACGCCATCACCGCCCCCGCTTCCTCGTCGTCGCCGCAGCTTCTGCCGTCGCCCACGTTGACCCGGAATGGTCCGCCGCGTGTATTGGATGAATAATTCATTTTTATGGAGCAGAGACCCCCGGCCCCGCCCTTCTTTTTCAAAGGCGGCGGCAGCGGCGGCGGCGGCGGCGCGAAAAGGTCAGCGCCGGCCCAGCCCCCGCCCCGGGCGCAGATATTTCATGGCGTGCGGCGCGGCGCCCGGGCCGGCGGCCCTAGCCCTCGGTGCCCCTGCCCCTCGCGACGGCGCCGCGGGCGTCGGGCTGCGGCGCGACGGAGCGCTCGCCCGCCGCGGCCGGCTAACGAGCCTACAATGTTATCAGCCCCTCTCACCCACGTTTCCTCTCCCCTTGCTTCCAGTTCTATCTTTACTCCCTCCCCCTTCCCTACCTCTCTTCCACTTCCATTCTTCCCTCTCTCCCTTCCTCCAGTGGTCCTACCCTCACTCCTTCCCCCTCTCCCTTCCGTTTATACGCTACCTGTTCTTTCCCCCCTTCTCTTTCCCCTCCTTCCTTCCCCCTCACCCTCCGTTCCACACTTACCTTCCCCCATCCCGCCTTCCATCCTTCCATCCTTCCCTCTCTCCCTCCAACAGTCCCATCTTCACTCCATCCCCCTGTCCATCCCCTTTCCCTTCCCTTCCCTTCTTCCGCCTCCTTCCTTCCCCATCCGTTTTACCCTCCCTTCTTCCCTCTCTCCCTCACTCTCACACTCCCTTCTTCACTCACTCCGCCCTTCCTTCATCCTCTTCCTCTCTCGCTTCCACTTCCTTCCTTCCCTCAATCTCTCGCTTCCACTTCCTTCCTTCCCTCAATCTCTCGCTTCCACTTCCTTTCATCAATATCTCCCACTCACTTCTCCCCTCCTTTCCCTCCCTCTCTCCTTACCTCTCCTTTCTGCTATCAGTTTTATCCTATTTCACCTCCTCCCTCTTTCCCGTTTCTTCACTCCACTTTTCCCATCTTCCACCATTCCCACCTTCCCTACCTCCTTCCTTCCCTATCTCCCTCCTCCTTTCCCCAATCACTGCTTGACTAACTCAGATCTACCATTGCCCTTGCCTCTGCAAAGTCGCTCACCTATATTCGAATCCCGATGGTAGCAAATTTACGACACTAACTACATAGCTAGGTCGGATTCAACCAGTGTCTGGAGGAAAATTCTACCGGTCAGCAGTTCTAGTCAGTGGTTTGGGGAAGGGGAAAAACCTCACACGCCGAAGTGAAGATTGGTACCAGCACTCTCGTTCCACTGGGGAAGAAACGCCCTTACCTCCTGCATATGGGTATGTAACATGCATTATTCTTAGGGGAGTTACGACCTTAGTAGTGGTCGTGCCCAGAAACACAAAACAATCCTTCAACTAATTTACTTGATATTTTTGTGCAAATTCTTCCAAAAGCGACATCCTCAACAACCTCTCATATGACGGCAGAATTCATCGTTCACTTTAACGCTCAAATCGCACACTCATTTCTAATACTTTTTTCTGCTATTGAGTAGTAGTTTTGATATGACCTTGCGAGGTTATCATATTGACTTCATCTTAGCTCGTTTACGCTCTTTCATCATTTGCGTACATCTTTCATGCTAATCATTACTTATGTTTTATTTAGGCATGAATTGGACTAACTGTCCAAATAACTAATCTATTTGTCACAATTATACTCTTATTTTAAATTGTTGTACATAAGTATCAACAGTACCGGTTTACTTTATTAGAATAATTGATTATTTAATGTCAATAACTTTGGTACATTCGCTGTTCTTTAATTTCACAACAGACACAACATGATATTCATTTATTTTAAATGAAGTGTCATTCAAGTTGAAATTAAAGACTACTCGCTTTTAGAAATGACCACACCATATGTTTGAAGAGTCGAAAGATATATGAGACAATGAAAAATGGAACAATTGGCGTATGAAAATCTTTACAAAACTATGAAAAAAATATTATCCAAAAGAACTGAATAAATAACGATAATGACACTAGGCGTAGAAAAAATTCCGTTTTGTTCATAATCGATGCCTAGGTGAAGTGTACGATAATAGCAACATGTTTTTTTGGAAATTTGAAGGCTGGGAGAGTATACCCATCCTTGCAAAATGAGTATGATTTTATATATAAAACTTAGTATCTTAATCATGTGGTGCAACTGGCTACACAAGTAATCGATTAGAAAAAAACTATGTTTTTATCAACGGCTAGAAACATAATGAACCTTATTACTTTGTTCAATCTGCAATTTATCAATATGATCGATTATGTAATTCGGTTTCAATTTTTCAAAACGTGGTTACTCCCATCATAGATGGTACAAATAAAAATTTCGGAAGTAAATAAAAGTGCATTAAAGTAAAATAAAATGAAAGCAAAAGTCTGAAGTTCAGTTCCTAATTTAGTAAGAAGAATAGGTAGCGAACAAACGTTATAGACCGATATAGCTTAAAAGTCGCGCGTACAGCAACATGCAACGGCAAAATGGAACAAAACACTTGATAAATCAGTGCACTAACGACTGCTAACTTATTTATTTAGCCCCAAGTCCAATAGTCCAGCAACTCAACTAAAGATTACGAATTTTCAATTTCCTTTCTTACGAAAGAATCCTATGTATCTGTTATTCAATTAATGCAATTGATTAACATTTGCAGAACTTGAACTTCTTTCATAATACAATTGAGCGTTGAAAGTGAAATAAATGTCGTTGCCATTAATTACATCCTCAATTTATTTATTATCAGTCCTGTCTCTCGCTGACAAGTTCTACTTATTTCCCATTAATTTCAGCAGATACTGCTGAATGTGAAATGGAACTCGCAAAATACGCTTGCCTGTCTAATATATTTAACGCCAGAAGACCCATGTTAACAACGACTTTACACAGTAAACAAAGTGTTTCCGAAGACATCCCCTTTTGCACTTTCAAACCTTTTTTGTACTCAGTAGAAGGATCGCAGACATGTGTTGATCTATCGTTGATTTTGCATTTCTCTCATTATTATTTTATAGGTTTGTCTCAACAATTTGGCAGCTGAGGGTCATTGTTGCTGAGCACAGATCTTATTAACGTTCCTCAAGCCAACAACAATCTCTTCCACACAACCGCCTCATCAACACAAAATGACAATACCCTCATGTAAGGAGCATCTGAGAATGCAGAAACAACCTTTCGATACTTCTCCTTCACAAGCATACATTAGTTTCTTAGTTTTTTTCATGACTCGATTGCCACCACGTGACTGACGTGCGCCACCCACCCCATTTCTCCACCATCATCAACACCTCCCGCCTCCATCCGCGCCAGCGCACA